AACACAGAGGTGCATTTATGGTATTTGTATAATCCATGAAGTGAAAATTAGGGACTATTTAGATGAAAGGCAATTAGACAATTACAGCTAATGAGGCCAATCCTTTTCTTTCACTCCAACGAGTCCGCAGACTAATTATCAAATTAAAGAATGCTTCTTTTCTCCTTCTGACCCCATCGTTAAAGAGGGGGGGGGGTTCTTGGGAAAGGCAAACATTGGTGTGCTCTGTGCAGGCAGAGGCTGCAGAACAGGCGGACTGCATTTAGAAACTGATGGGTGTATTAATCACCGCCCGAGTTGAGACAGCTTTACGGTCTGCAGGGCAGGAACACTAACGTAGAGCACATTCAGGCTCTCCAACAGCCAAACAGGAAATGTGGTTGCAGCCACAGGAAGTGGACCACATGAACTGCAGAAACCTGTTGGAGAAGCTTCCTCTTCTGCAGAGAACAGAGGAGATTCAAGGAAATCCACTTGACTTTTTATTGGATGTGTATCCATGACATGTTTCCCTGAAGCTGAACAAAGTCAGGTGCGCTAGAGGGAGAGAAAGAAGTGTGATAGCTGCAAGTCAGGATTTGTTCGCCCCTCTCTGCAGGCGAGCATCCTTCAGATGATTACGCTCACTAATCAAACGGTGTCTGTTTTCCCTCTTAGTGGATGGAAAGCTGATCGGGCTCGGTGGGATACTAGACAGGATGTTTCCCAGTGCCCCCCCTCCCTTTAACATATCTGTTTGCCAAGCAGTCCAGGTCCTTCTGGTATTAAAAAAAATCCAAATGAACCTTTTCAAAAATGTTCTGTTCTCTTAAAACCATCCCTTAATTAACCCAACACAGATCATCCTCTCACCCTCTACTGTTTTGCAGGCAGCAGCTGCACCTACCGGCAACTGAGAGGCACATTTTAAAAGCTGCTTCAGCCATCAAACCCAAAAAACAAAGTTAGAATAGAACAAAAATACTTTTTCATTAATGATTTTAGTGATAATCAAAACCAGACACTTCTTTGTTTTTATTTTCTAAGTAATCCTTCCATAAAATTGTTGACACAGCTTCTAAAATCCACACAAAGCAGCAGCTCTGCAGCACAGATGGCACTAAGTGCCACAGAGCGATCGGGTTTCTCCCAGCACAGCTAACAAGCGTCAACTTAACTGCTGCTTTTCCTTCATTTTCCCACTCTAATTTCGTTCTTCATCAAACTTCTCCTGTCATCCATGTTACACTCTCAATGTCAAGTGTCAAGTTCAGGGGTCAAAGGTTGAGACAGAGTTCTTTTCACACTCCCATGTCTGCCCTCTTCTTTCACAGAGCAGCGCTACAGGTGCAAGGTGTCTCGGAAATTACGCTGAGAAAAAAAAAGGTGTCCTAATTGATTCCTGTTCGTTGTCGTTGACCACCTTTTGTTTGTTTTGGACGGCGTTTCCTCAAGTCTCCATGGTGGACAAAGAGGTGATGAGTTCACCACAGCCTCTTTATGACAATAACTCCTCCTGTCACCTGCTTTCATATGGCAGGGGTGTTGGAGACTCCCGCTGACACTCTTGACATGGCTGGACTTAATGAGGACTGATGGGAACCTGTCAGTGAAGCAATGCTTTAAGCAGCTTTGTCACAGATCAGCCGCTGGAGTTTTATGCAAAACCGCCGTTCTGCTTAGAGATGACCTTCCAAAGTTCACAGGAAGTCGTCTCACAGAGAAAATGCTGGGATGCGTTAAAATGTTCAATACTGGCATGCAAATTCACAAGCTCACTTCCTCTGAATTTTACCCCAAAAGTTGAACTGCAGGATAAATATGGGATGTTTTTTTTTTTCATTCTAAGCCATTAAAGTTTAGGCTCAGAAAGCTTACGCTGCTTCTTCAATCCCTCCAGTGAATACACGAACATAAATATACAGAATGTGAAGTTAGTTCATTAAAGTAAACAGGAATGATTTGGTTTGCATGAGTAACGGTGCTGCAGAGATGCTCTGTGGCCTTGCTGAGGATGAGGGAATTGGAAGAAAATGTAATGAAATCAGCATCAGGAGGGGAAACGACCCAGTCAGTTTCCTGTGTGTTTTATGTTTTTACAGATTTCACTTTTTTATCAAGCTATTAAACAAATGAAGAGTTTGTCAAATTTAACGTTTGCTTATATAAATGATTATGACAGTGTTTAAATGTGAAACAAATCCAACAAAAGTTGGTTTAGATGGGATCCTTTGACATTAGCTGAATGGACATGGTTTATTGTTGAGCACCCGAACATAATAATAAAGTCTCTTAATTTAACATGTTCCACTCATACTCTCTAAAGCTGCCATATACATTGTAAAACTCGTCGTCGTCTTCCTCCGCTTATCCGGGTCGCGGGGGCAGCATCCCAACTAGGGAGCTCCAGACCGTCCTCTCCCCGGCCACCTCCACCAGCTCCTCCAGCAGGACCCCAAGGCGTTCCCGGACCAGATTGGAGATGTAACCTCTCCAACGTGTCCTGGGTCGACCCGGGGGCCTCCTGCCGGCAGGACATACCCGAAACACCTCCCCAGGGAGGCGTCCAGGAGGCATCCTGACCAGATGCCCAAACCACCTCAACTGACTCCTTTCGATCCGGAGGAGCAGCGGTTCTACTCCGAGTCCCTCCCGAATGTCCGAGCTCCTCACCCTATCTCTAAGGCTGAGCCCGGCCACCCTACGGAGGAAACTCTTTTCGGCCGCTTGTATCCGTGATCTCGTTCTTTCAGTCATTACCCAAAGCTCATGATCATAGGTGAGGATTGGGACGTAGATCGACCGATAAATCGAGAGCCTGGCTTTCTGGCTCAGCTCCCTCTTCACCACGACAGATCGGCTCAGCGTCCGCATCACTGCAGACGCCGAACCAATCCGCCTGTCGATCTCCCGATCCCTCCTACCCTCACTCGTGAACAAGACCCCGAGATACTTAAACTCCTCCACTTGAGGTAGGACCTCTGTGCCGACCCGAAGTTGGCAAGCCACCCTTTTCCGGTCGAGAACCATGGTGTCAGATTTGGAGGTGCTGAACATTGTAAAACTAATTGCATGAATGCTTTATAAAACCTCCCCAGTGGCCTATAAACCACAGACAGCTCTTTGTGGTGCTGCACTATATTTTCTTTCATTAGTCTCACTTTAGACACTCAAATCGAGATTCACACTGAAACAAATTTTCATTCGAGCTTTGGCTTTTAGTCAGTTTGAACCCAATTTGACATTTTAACCCTCGACGCCTCAGCAATAAGAGGGTTAAGCTGCTAGTTTTTCTGTTTTTCTTCTAAATCTTTGTCTCTCAGACAGCTCTATCTTTTAGTCATCCACAAATGAAAAGTAAACACAAGAATTTGCCTGAGAGAGAATTTTCCTGAGTCAGTGGCTATTTTAACATGTTTGTTTTATTTATTCCACAATCAGCTATCAAAACAAACAAACAAACAAACAAACAAAAATACATTTGCTGCTGACTTTTCATAATTCAAAGGAATTCCTACTTTTTTTTAATTGTTGATATTTACCATTTATATCTGTTTGCAAAAACGAAGTTTTAAAAAGTGTATTTATTTATTTAACCTTTATTTAACCAGATGAGTCGATTGAGAACTCATTCTCATTTACAACGAAGATCTGCCCTAGAGGCAAAAAAGTAATAGATACAACCATCACGAGATTTTTGAGTCATCAAATGCAGCTTAAAAACATTTTACTTACATTATAAATAGAAAAACGAAGCAGATGCAGAAGCAGAAGCTGAAACAAAGCGAATACCCCCTAGTGGCTGGTTGCAGTATAACATGTAAGTCCGGCTCCTTCTGTTTACATGTATGGATCATGTGTCTTAAAGGGGACAAAGAATGCAGTTTATCAGCAATCTAAAACACTACTTTAAATCTCTAAGAATCATAAGAAATGTCCTTTTGTCTTTCATCTGTCCCAGGAGCCCTGATACAGGCAATTCTAACCTCCCTAAATCAGCCTTGATGTGAAAAGAACTGCTTACCCCTCCCACTCAATAGTATATCGCTGCAGACCCGGAGACTGCAGATTCAGGCTTGTACTGTTTTGAGACAGCGCCCTCTAAAGGACAAACCTGTAACTGCAACTGCAGATTCATGACCAACTGCAGATTCAAGGCTGCAGACTTGGACACCGCAGATTCACGCCTGCTGCAGATTCAAACTTCTACTGTTTAACAGTTCTAGATAAAAATGTGAAGTGAAATGTGAAAAGTTTATTCGTTGTTAAAGCTTCAGTGAAGTAGCTCTCAGAATACAAATTTGATAACTCCTGAGTAACTTTTAATAATAAAAGCTTTCATCATATTTAATTGAAGTTATTTGTAGAAACAAAAACAAAAAAACTTTTTACAACTTTCCTGGTTCTCATCCACCTTGATGGACCAAAACACATATGGCTCATGAATTCAATGCAGAATGCTGTGGAACTTTGCAATGACGAATTTAATACATTTCCTTAAAGTAAAACTTCATTATTATTGGTCCTTTAGATGGTCCATTATGATTTTGGTTTTCCTCTATAAACCAGAAAACATTTAATTTGAAATACCTAATCTGTGGTGTCTATTTCTCATTTTTGTCATGAAAATAGGAAACAAAAACGACGAGACACTGGAGTAGCGTTTAATATTTCATTGAGGTAGGCCATGGTGTGTGTGAGGTGGAGGTGGGGTCTGCAGAGAAAAGAAAAATGTTAAGCACAAAGCTGAAATAAAACACTTTTCTTTAAATTGTACACTCATCAAAATGTGTGCAACAATTCAGTGTTATATTTCCATTTACAGCCCTACCTACTATTTGGTGGTACCTACCACACCTACCACTATTTGGTGGTAGGTAGGTACCAGTGGTGGTGACTGTTGGTAAGGTAGAGGTTGGTGGTGCTGGAAGGGTGGTTGTCAGAGCTGGAAAGTTACCAATGGTATCCAGCTGTTGTGGGCCACCACGTTCCTTGCACAGACGCAAATGTTTCATGGTGTCTGCTTTCCGGAGAAGTGTGGATTTGCAGTACAGACAATGGAAATGAAGGTGCTGGCGACCACCTAATCCACATCTGTGAATGGTATAACCTTAAACATATAAACATAGAAATAGAAATCAACATTTTACTTTTTTAGGTTTTTGTACATAATTATTTAACAAAATATGAAATTGCAGCAACTCTTACATCACAAACAGGCACCAGGAGAATGTTTCAAACTTTACCGTCATGAAAAACTGCCCGTTTGGGGTGACATGACAAATGTGTCGCATTTGCTGAGGGTAGTTGGTTTAAACAGGCTTGAGCTGCAAAAGGGGCAGTGGTAGTTTGTGCAGCAGGTCCTTTATCGCTCCAACGGAGTCACAGGTTGCCCTCTCTGAATTGTAATGTGAATCTTAAAAACACAGAGCATGATCAGTCAATATTCCTTTTTGCACAGAATAAAATCATTACATACAGTATTGACCATAAAGTAATGTAACGGTACACCTATAAGTCCGGTTCAGTAAAAAATCCAGCCCTGTTGGGTTAATTCTCAGTATAGTGGGGGAATAAAGTGAGAAAAAAAATGTTTTATTTTGTGTAAACAAGTACAGCTTTAATGACATTTAAATCTGAAAATTAACTTCCAAATCATTTCTATCTTAAATTAACTCTCCGTATTTCCTTCAGTTTTTCAGAATTAAGAGTTCCAGCTTATTGCATTTGTTCGTGTTCATTCATTCTTCCAATTTATTTTAGTTTTGTTTTTGGAAGAAATAACAATTTTTTGTAGTGGCTGTAGAAAACATCTTCTCACGGACAGTGGAACACAAAGAACTGCTAAATTTAGCGTCTATTTGGCGTAGTCATGGTTGCTAGGCGACAGGACATACGCCACACAAGACTGTCCAATTTCACAGCTGTTAACTTACGATATATCTTGGTCAACGAAGGACCCGGTGTCTGGTACCAACAGCTCTCCATTGACCAGAATCCTTCGATTGATGGAGCCCATAAATTTGGATACAGTGTTGCTGGCTAATTGCTAATGTGTGCAACACAGTTACAAGTCTGAGTAGGAACTCTGTACGGGAAACCAAACGTTCCGTGCCGAGCCGACAAATACCAAAACATGAATCGCCACACCCACTTTGAGCCAATATAAATGTATGTATGTGTACAAGTAAACATTATTTATAATGTAAGCATAGGATAGCGTAAAATAAACCTTTCTACAGTCTTTGAAATAAACCAACGACTTTGTTTCTTTCCCAAATTGTGGACTATTCATACCTTCATGAAAATGTTGGCCTATAAAGTTTTTTGTGAAGTCATGCACAATAAATTTAATTACACAGTTAATTTATTTAGTAAAAGGATGGATAGCACAATATAACTAAATGTGCAATTCAGACCATTGCTTTACTGTAAGCATACTTAGCTCCTAGCTTAGCCTACATGTGGTGATTAAACATCGTCAACTCCTTTTCAACTTATCACCAGAAAACGTTATTTTCCTCATCAAATGTATCTCGAGGGTTAAATTTTGTTTAGAAATATAGTTGGTAAACATACGCTGGTTTCATTAAACAACAAATTATACAAATACTGTTATCCACTTTCTATACTTACTCTCCGATCGTACTCCATCTTGGAATGCTAGCAAACAGTGGGCGGCGCTGTCTCAAAAGCAGTGCAAACCTGAATCTGTAGTCTCCGGGTCTGCAGCGATACCCTTCTCCTCCCACTTGGCCAGGACTTGAATAGGCTAATGAGCTGCTTGCTGATTGGTTGGATTAAACCAGAAGGCTTCAGACAATGGAGACTGCAGATTGGAGGAGGAAGGGCTCCACACTGACATTTTCTTGAGAGGTTTCCCAGAAAATAACTTTTTCTCAGGCATTTTTAAACTTTCAAATTTACATAAAGAGTAGGCCACACACGGTTTTGACTTTTTGGCATGCTACTTTTGACCGCCCAAGCGGTCTTTATTCACAAACAACAAGAAAATGTTGGTTAAGATTCTTTGTCCCCTTTAAAGTGCACCTCTGATAACTTTTCCTAGGTGCTGACTCATTTCTGCAGCATCTTCAGTTCATTACTTAGATTATGATTTGTAACAAATAATTATTTCATTTAAAAAACACCATGTCAGTAACAACATCTCATGGCTTCACTTTTGAAATTCTTTTCTACAATCTTTAGAAAGAACCAAAACTTGTCTTTTAACCCTTTATAGGGCCAACGTCTATATTTAGACTCTTCTACTCATATTAAAATTTGTGCCGTGTGCCTTTTTACAAACTCTTAAATTTACGGGATTTCACCGAAATAATATCAGAGATCAAGCTAGTCATGGTTTGCGCCACGGCGCCATTCCACCAATGAAGTGCGGGACAAATATTGGTGTGTCTGCAGAACCAGAAACTTGCTCGGTCTCCTCTCGTGGTCAGATATTTAAAACTAAAGATGCTAGGTTTATGAAACTCTCCCATCACAAGGTTGACTAGTTGTGCTAAATAAGAATATAAGTGTTGCAAATGTTAAACTCAATAAAGTTGGTGAAATCTTAGCATGAAACTCAAATCTGCCATATTTGAACATACGCCCCAAACAAGTAAAAGAAATTATATTTTTAGGTAAAATTTGTTGTTTATTTTTTTAGACATAATCTTAAAATTCATGGTAACAGTAAAAGCAATTATGAAATAGAATACATTTTGCAGTTTTAAACTAAGATTTATTTGGCAAATGGAGAACATTATTAGTTATTGCGCCAGCCAATCTCGCCATCAGTGATGAACAGGAAGAAGATAACATTGAGGCAGATTCTCAAATACAAATTATTCAAAATTATAATAATAATCTATATTTGATCAGAAATTGTATCTATTGTTAAATAACTTTTTTTAATCTACAATAATCTGTTTTTATCAAAATATTCTACATTGTTTAATAATTGTGATATGTTCTGTGTTTTTGAACAGTGAAATAATGTTCTAAAATTAACTAGATTATTCTAAAGTGTCTTATATTTATCTATACTATTCAAAAATAATGTTTTTTAACTTGTTCATGTGTTTTATTTTGGGTTTTCTTTTACTAGAACAGGGCCAATGTCCATATTTGATCACTTTGTTTTCTCAGATTTTCTGCATGAAAATAAATATTTTAGAAAATTGTAACTACAGAAGTATACTTCAGTTATGGCCAACAATAACAACCTGGAGTTGAAATTTAAAATGTTAAAATACTTCAGTGAGTGCCCTATAAAGGGTTGAAAGATTGCCAAGGGTGCATCAAGCAGCTCAGTGGCCTAGTGGCATCAGTGCCTATCCTGGGATGTGGATATTGAGGTTCAAATCCCGGTCGGGTCATACCAGAGTCTTTCAAAATGCCTCCCTGCTTGACGCTCAGCAGTTGAATTAGAGGTTAAACCACCAAATAGTTCCTGAGCGCAGCCGTGTCTGCAGCTCACCGTTCCACATGGGAATGGGTCAAATGTGGAGGACAAATTTCACCACACACCAATGTGTGTGACAACTGATGGGACTTTAACTTAACTTTAAGCAACAAACATGAACAAAAATATCAGATTATTTCTTTTGTGGCTGGAAAGCCGAATACTATTGCAACTCCACTGACATTGTTTCTACCCAGACCTCTTTGGGTGTTTGGAAGTGACAGAGAAAAGGCCTGTTGGACTTTTCTTCTTTCTTCTCTAACTAAGACATGTTCTTCCTGAAAAGTTCACATGCAGTTCTGTTTGTGTCAGTGTGTGCTTGAGACAGACTGAGAGCTATTTCACTTAAGCAGCAGGAGTGGGAAAACAATTGTTCCTGACTGATTTTCCCTTAACCCCTTAATGAAGCCCATGTGTACCACTGGCCTTTCAACAAGCTGCAAATCTGTGCGTGGCCCACTCCCCACTTGATTAAAGCAACAGCTACTCACCTGCTCCTCATTAGCCCGGGCCAGGAAAGGACCCAGTTTAATAAGTTAGCACCTGTATGTTCCAATTCTGCATGCCTTCTACATGTATGTAATATTTTTGTGTATTAAGCTGACAGCCATATAAATGATTGGTTGGCTTTAGCTCTGGTGAGGCTGCCCTTGTGTGCTGTGAGAGAGAGAAAGATTGATTTGTGGAAGCACATGTGGAGAAATAGCAGGGACGTGTTCTGTGCTTTGAGATAGATGAGGGACCAGGCTTGGAAACACTCATTACCCATAATCAGGGTCCCTAAAGGAAAGCAGATGGTGGCAGGAACAAATGAAAATGTGGATTTGTTCAATCTACATTTATGTACGTCCATGAATGCAATAAAACTAAAAAGAAAATAACCCAAAAATAAAGAATTAGGTCGTCAGCAAACGTTGTGTGAGTAAACAATACAGGGTTGGTGCAGTTCGGATGTATGTATCAGTAAATGTGGCGAGACATGCTGGTCATTACAGAATAAACCCACAGGGAACAGCGTGGGATCATCAGAGCGCTTCGGCCCAACCGGCGACTCCTCTGACCTCTGCCTGTTCTGAATGGAAGCATATTAACACTCCAGGCTCTCAGCAACATTTAAGCAATTTAGCAGATTTTCTGTGAGGCCACTTTTATCAGGCTTTAGTATTATTCAGAGGGGAAGGGAGGGGTGTGGAGAGAGATAGCGACTTGGTGAGGCAACATTGACATGGAGAATCTATTCCCATTTCCATACATTGGGCTTGTTGTTTTTCGTTCTCCCAGAGACCCACAGAGGAAGCACCTGTTAGCCTTTCACAATCTTCCCCTCAGCTTTCCTCTCTTCTGTTCTTTCATCCCTCCGTGACTGTAGCGTCTTACCCTCAACCCCCTAGAGTCACCCCCACAAAGCAGGTGTTCCCTGTCAAACACTGGATTGCCCTCATGGCCAAAAGAAAAGGAAACACAGCGAGAGGGAGCTGACCGTGAGGCTAAACGGGTCCACGCGGGTTGAGGGATAACATAGTAAACCTGTCCTAGTCCAGGTGTTCGATACCTTCCCTTCTTATTTACCACATGTGGATGTACAGTTGATTCTCAGCCCCGGTCTCAAAACAAATTGCTTGAGTGGAGGGTTTGTAAAAGAGATGTCTGTTCTGTTGGTGGAGGGGTTAAAGTTAATTAGAACGGGCATGTGTACTCTGGGCAAGAAGAAGAGAACATCTGCATTCAGTGGCATGGACCCATGTGTTGCAATTTTGGGTCTCATTTCCATTTGCAAGGGAGATAACTGCCCACATATGGGAGCAATAGATCGAAGAGGTCAGTGTAATTTATTTCACCGAGCAGACGGGGCAAGGAGACAATCCCTTGTGCTGTGATCTCAGTTGGCATGAGAAGAAACAAAATGGTGGAGCTCTTTAACCAGCCAGTGACGGTCCTACACCGCTTCCATGGACACCAATTATTTCTGATGAGACCAGCATGGTGGCACAACTTTCCAAGAAGGATCGTCTCTGTTCCAGTTCTGCCAGAGCCAGGAAGTGGTGTTATTTTTAAACCATTCAAATGAAACATTATTATTTTCAGGGTTTAATTAGAATAATTAATTTAACAAATACATAAAAAATATATAAATCAAACTGCAGTCGTAGAAATAATTTGGAAAATAAAGCTGAATCTACAATAAATATTATCAGGACAGCAGAAATTCATAAAAATGGAAGCTTTTGTTGTTGCAAAATGGTTTAAAAGAATGTAGAAAAGACAGTTTTTTAGTAGTTAGGAACATTTTCAGTTTCTAAATCAAATTATTTTATTAGTTTTACAAAGTTATGAACTTCTTTAAAAAACAGTGTTATTGTTTTTATGATCATTTAAATACATAGCAATTTAAAATTTCATCTTTCAGTTTTAATTTGAATAAAAAATTTGAAATGTCTCAAGCTAAAACCAAAACAAAAAAAGGCAGATTTTTTATATTTTTGAAAATAATAAAGCTGCAATAACAGCAAGAGTCTTACTTTAATGGTTACATTACAACACATGATTTTTTTATGTTCCTTTGCTGTTTGGTCCTTTTAAAAACAAACATGTCTGATGTAACACAGGTCAGAACAAACGGTGAAACGATGTAAATACCTTACTAATTGACCGACCACATAGACACAAATATACTTAGTTTTAAATTAAACATGAACAGTTTTTCAACAATAAAAAGTTTATTATCATGCTTTTCAAGTGAAAACAGTGATTGCTATAATTTCTGAACAAAAAAAAAACATTTAAATAAACAAATTAAAATGAAAACCATAAATACATAAATAAAAACATATAACATATATATATATATATATATATATATTTATATATATATATATTTATATATTAAGCCTTAATTTTGGTCTGAAAATTATGAAATCAGAAAAAATATCACCAGTAGTTATCCACCATTTTTCCACAAGAACAAACCGTCAACATGATTTTTTTCAGCAGAACTTCATCAAAACAATCTGATCTTCGTGTTTTTGTTCGCATGGCTGCACTCTTTTCTACCAGTCAGTCTAATCTCGATGCACTAAATGTGTGCAGTGGTGAAAACAGCTTAATAAGGAAAGTTAAAGCTCGAGCATGCAACTGGCATTAAGTCACCAGAGAGCAATTACGCTTTAGCTTGAAAGTTAGCGAAGGACCATGAGGAATGTCTTTCTTCGTCTATAAAGCCGGGACTTTGGAGACTAATTTAATTGAGTGTCTTTTTGTGC